GTTACTCGGCAGAAGACGTAAAAAGAAAGGTGTGACTAAGAGCTCCCCACACTGAAACTCTTTCCTCTTCTCCCTAAAGAAAAACAGTTGTCCAGGCATGAAAGTACAGCGGGTTAAGGAGACAGAAGGGTGCATACGAAAGGGCAGTCTGCAACAAAAAAGGGAGGATTATGTTGAAACCTGTTTTGGCTTTGGGGAATGTGAAACGATTTCATTTATGTTCAGAGAAAAGCAGAAAATTGAATATTATAAAAATCCGGGGGGAAAAAAGTTACAAAAAATCTCTTAATCCAAAAGGATTGCAATATGTGATCATTGACTTAGTGTTGGATATGTTTAATTTCTTGACATTTAAGCAGGCCATATCTGGAGAAAACACTGTGCATCTTTAAGCATTAGAGGGACAAGTTGTGACCAATGGAAGTATGTAACTGTAGCCAAAGGCATTATTATTATCATTTTGAGGAGTAATTATCCTGTAAGGCCAAGCCACTTATTGTTAATGTCTTTTCTACGTAAGGTGTGATCATTGAAATGTCAAAGATCTCTAACTGGTTTCCCCTCAAGGCTACAAATAATTTTAGAGCAGAAGGGTTGTTTGGGTTTAAAGTGGTTTTTTTTGTTGTTGTTGCTTTTTTCTGTAACTATAATTAGACTTTTGGGTAGTTCTTTACACTGCTACTCATTTTTAAATGAACAAGATGAAACGTCATGAAAAAGGTCTTATATCATCTAGTGTAAGTTGTCTGCATTACCTGTGGTAAAGCTTCATACGGCACTGCTTACTTATTATTAATGCACAAAGATTGAAAAGATTCTTTGTTTTTATCTCTTCACTTTATTCTGTCTAAAAATTGTATTGACGATTTGTGTTGACATCATAACGCTCTGATTCTTTAATAGCGGGAAAAGGTTTGCTAGAGGACACTGCTTAGGAAAAACTGTGGTTTTAGAGAGGGTTTATTCTTTTCTTTCTTATCACATTATTTTCCTTAAGCTGCAGGTTAAAATACATCTTGAAGTTGGTTTGTAGAAAAGATCTGTTGGAGGAGAAGGCCAAGCAGTATTAGGAATGGGAAAATTAGAAGGGTTCGCTGCTAGTCTGCTGCCCTTTACGCATGGCTAAGACCACACCCACGGTTACAAATCGGGTAGAGTGCTGTCTTCTTTTGTTGTCCTGAAGAACAATTCTGGGATGCATTAAGAATGCAGCGCTTTTCTCTATGATACACCATGGAGCAGGAGTTCTCTTTCTTTATCCACAAGGATTAGCATATCATTTGAAAACCAAGGGCCCCACTTGGCTCATGTTGAGGTTAAAGCTTATTGCAGCTACATCAGGTCAACAGCGCTCCAGTTATTGATCATACTGGTCTAGATAAATTCAGCATGCCATTTTGCTAAGCAGCTAGAATGAGCCAATAATCATCAGTATAGTTCAATGATCAAATCTCCAATGTGAGTTCAATTATTATTTTAATTAATATTTAAAACGTCTTCAGACTTGGAAAACTAAGTCCAGTGGGTTTTTTTTAAATACTTTTCTAACATGTTAGTTATCAACATATGTTTTTCTACAAATCTTTTACAAATCTTAATGTTAATTTCTGTTAATAAGTTTGTCCCTCCATATCTTGTAAAAAGCCCCTTTTTCTAGAGATCTTTACAAGGATGTTTTCATATGTACATAACCGGGAAACACCAAGATAAGGATGTTGTCTGTGTTTTAGTAAAAAATTGAAAAATAATGTCTGCACAGGGCTCGAAAAAAAAACACTCAAAAACAATCAATATCTAGCCTGGTTAGTTGATTGATCAGACCAGCTTTGTTTCAAATATTAAGCCTTATTTTATTAGCAGATTCCTTTTAGAAGGTATCCTAACCCACGATTGCCTGTGAATTGCAACTGGATTTCATTCTTTGCAATTTTGCTTAGACCAGCCATGTTGCCTTATGGTGAGACAAGGTTATTTTGTTCTTTTAGAGCAGTTGGTCTAATTGGCACTGTAAAAGTAGCTAATGATTACACAGAACATTTTTTCAGAAAGAACATTTTAAATTCTCACCAAGTGAACATTGCCTTTCTTTTTTTTTTTTTTTGTTCTAAATAAACATTTTGCCAAACATGGGAATTTTCTAACCTTGATGAGGAAACTCTTTCCACCAGGTGTGTCCATTAAGTCTGAGACAAGCACACCCAGGTGGGGCTGCACACTCATAAAGACAAAGGAGTAATATGATGTCGTTTTTTTGTTTGTTTTTTTTATATTTTCCAACCACACCTCGTCTGTTATCTCAGCTTTTCACCAGGGATGTTTTCATTTCTGGTTACTGAATCAAATATCCATGTTGAATAGAATCACTACTCACCCTAAAGGCTTTGTGGTTCCTCAGCTTCTTCCCTGCTCATCCGAATCCACCCAGCTGCATTCTTAAGACCAAAATAGACTGGAAAGTAACAGTATTATGGTCAAGTGATACATCCCTGTTCGTACTTGTAGTAAAGTCACTGTGGGCGGTTTGATGGGGATTTTACTGGGTTTGGAAGTTTCAGTTTATCACAATGCCCACTAACTTAGGAAACACCTGCTTAAGCTAGCTGCGTGGGTAAATCTTTTGCTACGGCTCTCTTGGAGGAGGAATTGATCACATTCAAGTCTGATCAGGTGTGTTTTCCGTTTAACCTGGACCCAGCTCTGAGTATTAGGGATAGTCTTTTGTTCGAGGAAAGACGTGAAAAGGGTTATTGACTTACCTTGATTACCCTGTTGTGTATTTTCCTTTTGTTTCACATGATGCAATTTCCTTGGAAAATATCCCTCGGTTATTGCCTTAAAATTACTCTGACACTAAAGGCTACACAGTTTGATCACCAGATCAGCCAGATGTCAAGGAGTTTTTTCAACTCTGAGCACATTGGACATGATTTAGAGTCCGATGTGATGGAAATCGGTTCTTATGAAGTTGTGGCACTTAAAGCTAATAAAAAATATATGGGGCTGTACATGTCGCACACGATATTCTGAATCTGTGCTTGCTTAGCTCCGATTGAGATAGACCCCCTATCTGTTTTTGTCTATTCTAGCAGCAGCTTGTTGGCATGGTTATGAGTCATACAGGAAAAGTGACCCTATGGCAAAGTAAAACACAATCCACTTTGGGGGGAAAACAGGATCTCTGAATCTCAAGGATAATGATAAGGTTGAAAAATCAGAACTTTTCCTAATTAGGGAGTGGTTGATCAAGTGGAGCCGAGATTAAGCTTTTTTTCAGTCAGTATGGAGTATAGAGAAAATAATGTAGACAAAGGGTGTCTATTTGAAGACGCAGTGAGCCACTGTGCATCTAAAATACACAACAGTGACCTCACTGCAGTGATTGCGGAAATTACCCTGGACACTGCAGACTGCAGCTCTGCTTTCTTTACATTTAAAAACAATAATATATTTTTTTGACTTTTCACGATGCGACCGAGTCACATGAAGGACATACTTTCAGTGTGTGTTCAGTCCCGAAAAGATCGGGATATTTGCTCAATCTATGCAGAGAAGGAGCATCTTTATATGCACTCAATCCAGTTTAACAGTAAAAAAATGTGTATCCAAGCCTTTAGAGTCAGACATAAGTGGTGTGACCCGGCTTTCAGATACTGTGTTCATACATGGCATGAGTGCCATATGTCTAATCTAGGGTAATGATAATTCTGCATACAAACAGAAGGTAGACCAGCTGGTTCACTGGTTTAGATGAACCACCTGCAGGTTAACTCGTCAGTTTGTGGAGATGGATATGAACTTCCAGAAGACACCTCGCACTTTTCTCCATCACACTGCTTCCCAGCCTTTCTCATGAACTACGATGGTTCTCTCACTTAGAAAATGTCTTGAAGAAGGTCCAGCATAGATTGCACGAGAAGCCTGACCTTCCACAGGAGCTGCTGGGTCATCGTCTTTACAGGATTATGCAGTCTTTCCTGTTTATCTCAAGTGTGTGGTTTGGCCATCTATAAAACATGTAACTGTCAGACCGCAACCAACGATAATGTCCCCATAGAGAATTATTAGGGCTGATCTTCCATCTAGGACTTGGGACAGGTCTAGGGTGAGAAAAAGGGAAGCTAACATACTCCTACACATCTTGGACACAAACTGAACTTTCACCATCAGGTCAAGATGGTAAAAGTTTTTGTTTTTGAAATACTGAGCACAGTTAGCTAAGACCCTATCAAAAATCGTATGAAAACTGAGGCAAGTATTCCCTCGCCTCTGGATGCTAGATGCTGGCAATTAAACGTGAGTCTGACTGCATTACCTGTTGTTTGATTAAATTTGGTCATTATTTGATCTCTTGGGAGTTTATCAAGGCGTTGAAAATCCATTCCCAGATGGTGAGCAGAAAAAAATGACTAGACACTAAAAATAACTAACCTTGTCCTGAACCAAACGAAGACTGGATCCAAATACACACATACTACTCAAAACAAGAACAAACATAATGATGCACATACTTTGATACCATTACGGGACACAATAATTATCACAGTCCCCTTTCACTTTGCCACATTAAGAACCATAGCAGAGGTCGTTTGATGCAACAAGATAGCTTTGACTTACGATATTTGTAGGTTAAAAAAAACAAAACAAATCAAAGAATTTTTAACCTTAAACTTTGAAGTCAATTTTAGTATATCTTCGTCATTACATATAATATTTAAGATACCAGCCAAGTTAAATGGGTTGGTGTTCTCCTTTAACTTAAGTCCATATAAATGGCCCTGTTAGATTAATAAAGGTCCAGCCTGATGAATTTGGACCTTTTTCTGGAGAAAATGTCCGCCCTTTAAAGCTATTCTCTACTACTCTAAGTAATGTTTTAGAAATAAGGTTCTGGGGATGGGGGTGGGTATTTAAATCAGTACCTCTGACTGTGAAAAAAAGATTCCACTTGCATGAATGACACCTCATGCTTTTTTCCTTCACTTTCTGTTAATCTCTTTCAGCTTCTGGAATATGTTGGCAAAGGAAAGAGCATCATGGACGTTGGTTTGGCCCAGGCCCGCCAGCCGCTCACCACGCGCTGCCACTACTATGAGGTGGAAATAGTCGATGCTGGGGAGAAGTGCTACATTGCCCTGGGCTTGGCACGTAGGGTGAGCTGTCACAGTAAATGCTCGTAGAGGTTCAGACACACCTGTTTTAGAAGAGCGGTATGTTTTTGGCATTCGGCCATAACAATTTATTTCTACTTAGTGCATTAGTGAAAACAGTGTAGCTCAGTGAAGTCATGAAAGATGAACGGCAGAGGTTAGCTTCAGAGATTTGGCTCTCTTCTCTTCCTTTGTGGTCACGCCAAATAGCTGAGCTTAAATCCAAATTTTTCACAGTGCTCCTCAGAGCATGTTTTAGGAAAAGAATAAGGCACTGAGATAGAACATAAACAGCATCTCTATCCTTTCAGAAGATCTGTTTGATGTTAATAAAATCTAATTTGATTAAAAAAATATATTTTTAGCTCCTTACGTTTTGCACCACAGGACAGAATCTGCTCAATTACAGCACTCAGGAACCATAATTAAATTTTTCCTGATTAAAATAATTGTATTGGGGAATTATTTTTTTTTTCCCTGCTCAGCAATGTATCAAAAAATAAAACAAAGTAATAGAAGAAACAAATCCATGTTCTAGGAAAAAAAACAACCTAGCATTTGAACAAAATTCATTTTGGGTTAAATGTTTTTTATGTTTATCTAGAAAGTGTTTAAAAACACTTCCTTTGTTTAACCTGATTTAATCAATATTGGTATATTTTTACCACTCTGATTGCAGTCCAGGCTGCATTTTGACTAAATTATCTAAACTGCCATTTTATTTTGTACATTTGAAAACAAAATATCACTAAAGCAAAAGATATGATTTCATTTTTTATTCTTTTGAGAATAAAACAATTTTAATGCTCTTAAAAACATTTGATTTTGTTTGACGTAATATATTGGGCATTAAGCTGCTCCCTTGTTTCTCTTTGATCGTAGATTTAGCTGCTTGTTCTTCCATTGCGTAGTGATGCACAAACCAACAGTGATGCAAATCTCCCAGTTTTGCACTAATAAGGTCTGACTGTTGATTGGCAGGTCAAACACCAAATGAATATCTCTTTATTAAATGCATCAAAACCAAACAATTTCTCTATTTTGGGACAATAAAGTACATCAAGAACTCATCCAGGGTATCAGGTCCCAGTATTGATGAAAGTGTTTCAATAATCTGTTTACAAGACCCTGAATAAACTCAACTCCTATTAGATAAACATACAAAGACATTTTATGGGACCAGCTTTACAAATTATGGCCTTTTTTTTTTGAACAAAGACTTTATTTTATCAGATCAATATTCAAAACCAATGATTAATACAATAAGCCAGAAACAACAATTTCCAATACAGCCATACAAACAATTGAGTAACAACAACCAAACAAGTCGGCGAGCTGAAAATCCATGTTTTTTTCTTTTCTTTTTTCTTCTTTATTATTATTATTATTTTTTTTTTTCTTTTTTATTGGGGGATGAGATAAAGGAAAAATCTTTCTCGAGTGACTTTTATTTTTCTCATAACAGAGATATATGTTAATTTATATCTATATCCACTTTTTATATGTGGAAAGTTACATTTAGTCTGAGCACAATATCCTTGTAAATGAAAACTACTACAACAAATCTGGGTTTTCCTTCAAAACCCATGTAACTCCTGTGGGGTTTGGTCCTTTTGCTTCGTAAGACCGGACATGCTGCTGTGCTAAGAAGGCTGTTCAGAAGGAACTGCACACAGAGAGGCTAAAATACAAGTTAATAAACTTGATTCAAAACACCAGTTTTGATTCAACCAATTCAAAACTGCTTTTCTGTCCAACTCTTTTATTGATTTGGTTTATGGTTCACTGGTAGAACACAAAGTCATGCTAATAGGAAAAGTTGCAGGCCCACTGGATCTTAAACTAGAGCAGGATGTAAAGGTGGGTAATCCAATATCAAGTTGGTTCAGATTCTAAAATGAGCACAACAAACTGAAAGTACTACCTTTGCCATGTTTCCTATTTAGAAACAGACTTGAGGATTGTGCTTTTATTTTGGAATCCTTATATTCAATGTTGTATATTTTCATACTTCATTGACCAGAATGCTATGAAAAAGAAAATGCTTAAGATTTACATGAAAAGCTTTACATTTTGAGGTACATGAACCCAGAACTCTAAAACCTGCCTGAAAGTACTTTTAAAGTGAAGGATGATTAGAGACTACTTTCAGGAAAGCAAACAGTGCCAATAGCAAACAGTGATGTCGATAACCTGCTCCTTGAATTAAAGGAAAAGTTGCCTCTTTCATACAAGTCAGATCAGGCGTCTTTATTTTCTGTTCAAAGTCAAAGCCTTGTAGTTTCTGCAAAGTCTCCTGAAAAGTCATGTTTGAATTTCATGAATGTTTAAGAACAATTTTTGCTCTTAAAAGTTAACACACACTCTCTCTTTCAATTCTGGTTAAAGTCCATACATGCAGTCATTACTTGCTGCTAAGCACTTTTTTACTTGATTGAATCTAGTTTTTGGAACCTTTCCTCCTACATCTGGTTTTCATTATAAAGACATTAAGCTTAAGACCGGGAGAAGTGGTGTGAAAGTCAAAATTGAACAGCTTACACATTGGCTGTTGGTTCAATGGGGCTTCCAGGTTTTTATTTAATCTGTTTCACACAATGAGCAAACAATACAGGCTGGAATATTAAAACAAATCACCATCTTACAAGAAACTCCCTGACTCAGTTTCTGTTGGACTTGTTGACTTAAGGCTCAGCTTGGAGTTTCCTCTCAGATTTTTGATTTGCTGCTTAAGGTTCTGAATAGCGGTGGCAAGTTCAGTCTTTGGTGCAACGGAAATATTATTGCAACAAAAGTTGACTGTTGAACACTGACAGATAAATGTGTATCACACATTCATGCTGGAGTTAGAGTAAGCTCCGTTGAACGGTGACCCAAACTTTCCTAGCCATTTTCCCCTTGCACCATTATCTTGTCAAATTGACAAATACCTGCTAGCAAATTTCACCTATTAACTCAAACAATGCCTTTTCCAGTCCTCCACCCTAATTACTCAACACACGTGGACTGGGCTGACAGCACAGCTCTGCTGCCACAGTGTTTTTTAAAATGGGTTTGGTACAGTACAGAAAGGAGGATTTGGAAATAATACAGAGGCTGAAAGCAATACCAAAAACAACAACGAAAAAAAAACAGCAACCAGTGTTTTGACCACCGTCCCTTACAGATGAGCTTCCTTGCTTTGTACTGGAAGGCATTTTAATGCCATATCTCCAGTTATGTAATAAACTGCGAACAAGCTACCCAGGAAAGGCCACAGCAGAACCCTGATCCTATTGATGATTTCACAGAGGACTGCCCTGGGTGCTCATAGCTCGGTGTCTGCATGTGCAGAGGTTCTGATTTCATGCAGATGCTGTTAAGGAGAGAAATATAAGTCCATGTGAGTCCCTCTCTCTGCTATGAATATGTCATCGGCATCTGTGTGAAGAGAAGCTTCATATGATGCAGAACAAGAAGAAGAATAACCATGTAGAGATGCAGCCCACATCCACCATCTTTTTTAGGCTATATAAGATACATTTTAGAAAACTATTACAATTTTGTTGTTGCTTTTTTCATAAACCAACATTAAATAAATGTGAAGCAAGCATTGTTTTTGATTTTTTTTTTGTGCTACAAATCTCAAAAAGTCAGGAGCAGCACGTCCTGTTTACCTTTTCTTTATAAATTTCATTGAATGTCAGAGTGAGGTTTTCATACTGGCACTCTCCACAAGCAGCCCTTAGCCCCTGAAGGAAGAGTTATTTCCTCTGGCCCGGTGCTGAGATGGCACTGGTTGTGCCAAAGTCATTACTAGAAACTGGTGTTAAGTGGAGAACTACCAATGGGAGCAATTTGCAGTAAAAATCCCCCAAACCCAAAAGATTTAAAACAGTAGGAACCACTGTCAGTATCCTTTAGCGTGACGTTTGTTTAAACCTTCTCAGTTTTGCTAGTGTTTCTGTTGCCATTTTCCTCAAAGGCAATCAGAGAGTATTATTGGACATCATGTTGGTTGGGATGTGTTTGAGCAATGGTTTGAAATTACACGCCTTAATCATCCTGCAAACCTTCACTTGGAATCCTGTCAACAACTGAGTAAATTAAGTAAGTTGTCTGTTTTTCTTTTTCCGCCCTGCAACCATAAAAAGTTGTGGAAACACCAACAGATGCTTAAAGATCAGAGAGGCATTCTTATGCCGTGGGGGCCTAGAGGTTTTAGCTCGATGACATGAGGCTAAACAAACAGACCTGCATTAGTTCTCCACATGTTCCCTGCCCAACCCCTATAAGTTTGGCACGTACAAACAGAAAGTACTGCTTCCCCTTCCCCATATAGTGTTCCTACAGCACACACACAACATATTCTCACGTCTGTGGTAATACCTATCTTAAGCTTTATTTTTAGACAGCTCTTTGATATATCAGTGAGATAGCGGCAGTACATGATGGGTATCTCCTTCCACGTGGTTTTTCTCTCAACCCGCACCTTTATTGCCACACTGTTTACTCTTTCTCAGTTTGGAAACCTCAGATTCCTCCCAGATGGAGTGGATTGATAGTACTGTAAATTAGGGGTGTAAATAATAATCGTTTTGTATCGATGCATCGATCCAAAAGCCGACGATCCGATGCATCGACACGTCCGCAAGATAATCGATTGTTTTTTTTTTTTTTCCCTCCGGTCTATTTTTATCCATTTTCTCCTGGGCGTAACTCTCCTCCCTCCCTGCGGTGCCGCTAAACTTATTTTGCCCTCCTACCGCGCTTCCTGGTTATACTCTTACAGCAGTTTGTTGCAGCAAGCTTCACACAGACATTTTTAAATTATGCTCAATATTGCAGCGTGGTCTGAGCTACACGCTGTGGGTCTAGATACGGCCGAGGCGGCGAGGAAGTGGGGGCGAGTTTAGTCCGACGACGGAGGGAAAAAAGAGCGGAGATTCAGCTGGAAAAAGGCTCCCAGCGTTCTCGCGCACCTCGCTCTTCTAGCGGGTCAAACTTCACGAGTTGTTTTCCGC